AAAGAAAGAGAGAGAGAGAGAGAGAGAGAGAGAGAGATAATTTTTTTTTAATTTTTATTTGAGACAGAGTCTCACTTGTAGTTCAGGCTGGTCTTGAATTCACTATGCAGCCCGGGCCCTAACTTGCAGGGATCCTCCTGTGTCACCCTCTCAAGTGCTGTGATTATGGGCCTGCCCCACCACATCTGGCTTAAAAAAATTTTTTTTTTAAGTTAGCTGTTCCTTTATAATGAATTACACTGCTAAAGTTCTAATATGGCCAAGAGACCACAGGAAAATATCACTTTAAACTCCTGCTTGAAGCCAACAGCTTCAGAAAACTGCGAGGCTTGATTAGAGGCCAATAGATTTTATTTAAAATTGTTATTAAGAAGTGCATACCTTTCTATATTTTACATTTTCAAATGATCACTGCAACACTCTGGTTTCTCTTCAGATCATATAAATCTTTTACCTTTTAAAATAATCATTGCATTTTAAAAGAAATGGTTTCCTTTGCAACCCTGTTTATTTCATGATTCTGAGAAGGCGTCTGCCTACCTCACCCATAGCCGAAGTGTCCACAACCCATGGATGGAGTTGGAGGTTCACTCCCAGTGGGAGAGGAACTGCTAGGTGGTTTCAGCAGAGGAATGATTCAACAGGAGCAATTTTCATTTTCCAAAGTCACCCCCAAGGCTGGGGAGAGGTGAGGTGGCTTATGGTCGGCCAGGGCAATGCTGGAGGCAGAGGGAAGCCATGACTTTAACTAACCACTATTCTGGATGATCCCAAGGTGGCAGTGTCCTGGGGCCCTGGTGAGCTCTGTCCTTCCCTTTGATCTATAGCCTTCCCCATGCTACCCTCTGGGCCCAAGGGGCCTGGGATCCGGGGACCAAACCTGCCCCAGGACAGCCTCCCAAAGAGTAACGGAGCCTGAGGTCATGCACCCATAAGAAAAATAAATACAGTATTTGCTACTGTTTGCTTTATGTATTGGTCTAGAAAGAAATGAGGATTTTATTTATTTATTTATTTATTTAGGTGCCGGGGATCGAACTCGGGTCCTTGTACTTGTGAGGCAGGTGGCAGAAGCACTGAGCTAAATCCCCAGCCCAGGATTTTATTTTAGAAGGCTGTCCAGCAGGACCCCAGCAGAGACTGGGCAAACACCACAATGATGGGCTGTAAACAGGTCGCAAGGGCCAAGCCCTAGGCCTGACCCACATGCTGCAGCCTCTCATTTATCTCTACCTTCATATTTGTCCTGCGCCTTTCTTCACACTGCACACACCCAGAGTCTCAACTTGAAGAACAGAAGCATCATTCCCGCACACCAGCATGCACATTTCTCACTCCACCCAGAAGCAAGGGGCCTGCCAAGAGCCTTCTGAAATATATGGATCATTTGTGGACCAGAGAAGCTCAGAGCTGAGCTAGGAAGGAGGGCATCAGATGGATGGTGAGGGACACGTGGGTCCTCCTGGGACAATGCTGGATGATCCTGGGAGAAAGGCCACAGTGGGGATATCTGAGCAGCCTGACTTGGAAGGAGGGACAGGTGGGGCATGGAGCCTGGGCATGGCTAGTTCACCGCAAGGTAGCAGCAGCCACATCTCAAAGGAGAGAAGTAGAGAGGAAGAGTGTGCTGGGCCTTTGAGTCCAGAGGTCAGGTGATATGGACTGAACATCTGCATCTTCCCCAAATGCCCATGTTGAAGCCTAACCCTCAGTGTGATGGATTGAGGAGGTTCAGTTGGTGAGGGGGTAACCTTCTTGAATGGGATTCATGCTTCCGCAAGAAGAGACAAGAGAGCTTGCTTCCTCCCTCTCCACCATTCAGTCATGTGATAAAGCCATCTGCAAAGAGGGAAGTGGGCTTTGATCTTAGACTTCCAGCCTGCAGAACTGAGAAATGAATATGTTCTTGAAGCTGCTCAGCCTTTGTAATTTGTTACAGCAGCCAGAGCTGGCTGACACATCAGTTAATAGAGAATAAAGTCTGAAGGTAGGTGTTGTATCACTGGTGTGAACCAGAACAGCAGGTCTACAATGGCCCACCTAGACAAGAGCTTCCTGATTCAGCTCAGCTGTACCTTTCCGGGGCCTCTGGCTGAACAAGGCAGGCTGGGTTTCTTTTTGTTTGTTTGTTTGTTTGTTTTTTGAGACAGGTTCTATGTAGTTGAGACTGATCTGGAACTCACTATGTAGCCCAGACTGATCTCAAACCCACAGCGATCCTCCTGCCTCGGCCTCCCTTACAGGCATGTGCCACCACGCCCAGCTCAGGCTGGGTTTCTTGATGTGGGGTGAGGGCCATGGCCATGTGTGTGTACTCACTAGCATTTCAGGTTTTAGTTTTTCCAGCACACTCAGGGATATAAGAGAGGCAAAAAAGAAGACCCAAGGAGCTTGTGGCAGTGTCATTCTTCATGTCCCAAGGTTTCCAATCAATCTGCCTTCTCTCCACCTTCCAGACTCTTGGCATTTGTTTTACATGCAATGTCCAGGATTTTCAACTAACCTTAGTAGCCAGGACAGGGAATAATGTATCCAATCCCTCTTGTCTGGAAATAGAGGTGCTATATTTTGTATTTTTATGTTTTGTAGTTTTAAGAAACACATGAATACAGCAAAGCAATAAGATTTCTTTAATCTGGATGTCAGACACACAAATGCTCTGTATATTACTTAGTACTTTTCTGACTCTGAAACCCTTCATAAGCGCTGTATTCACTCACAGCTCCTTATTTCTCCTTCCCTTCACTTATTTATCTAGCTAATTTTTTAAAGAGACACGAGAAAGATTTATTAGAGGTAGATATACAGCATGCTCAAGAACAGAGTGTGCATGCTCATTCAGCTAACTTCTATCTCTCCTCTCCTGCAAGCTGCAGCTGCCAACCACACAGTGGTGAATTTACGAGTGCCAGTCCCTTACTGCAGAACCATTCCACCTGAGGGACCCGCGGACACATCAACAGCTGAGGGGCTGTCCCCAGCAAGAGGACTAGATGCTCTGAGAGACCCTGGCCGAGGCTAATTTACATGCAGGACTCAGGGAGGCTTCTCGATCTGCAGACATCCTCCAACCATTGTCTCAGATTCAGAAAGGTCTCAGATCAGCCTCTAGCCTAGCGGAAGGAATGCTAGGATGTTCCCCAGGGCCTGCAGCAAGTAGGGAATGAGATGACATCCCTCCCTCAATGATCCCTCTCTTTCCTCATATTCAGAAAAGGCAACCTGTCAGCCTGGACTTGCCCTACCAGGAAGAGGAGAATGCAGAAGGCTTGATATCTTTGGGCCCTCAGGATGTGCAATGACATTGGCAAGTGAGGTTCCCCACAGCCCCATCCCAGGGCCCCACTGCTGCCAAGCTAAGTTAGCATGAAAAAGAAAAGGGACAGTCACCAGAGGGGCTCTCCCTAACTCCCCTCTCTGAACACCATTTTCAGTCCTGAGGGGCCAACTGCTCCTCCTCCAGCCCCAGGAAAGCAGCTTCTCTCTGCCCCACATCTCTATGGGCCACCAGCTAGAAAGCTGATCCTCAAGGGTGAACAGGGATGTCCAAGGTCACAACTCTGGAGAGGCCAAGCAGGATGTTGGCTGCTGGGAATTCCAGAAGGAAACAGAGTCCCTGAGGAGGCTCCACACATTTGATCCACTCCATTGCCCTGTGATTGGGTTCACAGTCACTGCATTACAGCTGGAGAAACTGAGGCTCGGCAAGACTAAACATCTTATAATGTGGCCAACAGAGACAGTGGAGTCAGAACCCAAATCCCCTGGACCCAGAGCTCCAATCCCTTAGCTTCAATCTCCTGAGGACACCATGGAGATTCCAATCTCACTGAGATGTTAAGAATGGAAGGTGGGTCTCGAGGACACCTCCACCCTTCAGCACTCACTCTTCCTTGCCCCACCCGCTCACATCCGCCTGTGTGGGGTGCAGGTTTCATTTCAGAAGCACTAATTAAGTGAGCTCCTCCACCACACTAGGCACAGTAGGGCACAAAGAGTGTAAGATGATCCCCCTTTTGGGGGATAGAGGAAGCCCAGGGATAACATGTCAGTCCCACCTGCCTGGGAAACTGCTGGAGGCCAGGCCACAGGGAAAGGCCATCCAGAAAAGCCAAGGATATGGTCGTGAGTGTCTCCACATTCCAGGGCAGACACAAGTAATCCACCCAAAGTTCTTGATAGCAGCTCCCTAAACAGCTGGGCCTATGGAGTTCAGGGTAGCACAGCCATCCTTGAATCTGGTCCTCGATGGGTCTGAGTGTTCGAAGATGTGTTGTGCACAGGCATAACCTGACAGTCTTGAGCAGATGAGGAGCTTTCCTGCATGGAAGGCCCACAGGGAGGACTGCCCACCATGCTGCCTCCTTCCACAGCCACGGCCTCAGTGGGGCCAGGAAGAGACTTCGCGAACTTGGCTATGGAAATCCCCAAGGGACACAAGGCCTTCCGCTGCAGTTGGAGGTTATGCCACTGGGCTGGGTGCTCCTTGGTGAGCACTAACATCCCTGTCAAGAAGGAAGGGGAGCCTAGAGCCGAGGCTGTGTTCCAGGGCAGGATGCCTAGAACGGTGGAAAACTTCAAACAGGGCTCAAGGCTGGGTGTGGCTCACCCTACAGCTGAACCACTCTGTGCCTGGAGTGAATAACAGCATCTGCCTCAGAGGGAAATAGGGAAGTGATGATTCAGGACAGTGCACGACAAATACTCAATGAATGCTGATTGTAGCTTTAAATTCATTAGCAAAGATGTCAGACTGGAGCGGCTCCCTGGAACCAGGTGGTTGACGGGCTGCTGATTCCTCACACCCCTCCAGGCAGCAGTGCCAGCTTACCTATAGTCCTTCGGAGGTCTTCACACTGGCTGATGTGCGGGAACTTCAGGATTTCCTTCCACTTCTTGCTTTTCCCTTTGCGCTTTCCTCCGCCCCCTGCAGAGATGGAGAAGGAAGACGGGCTCAGGTTGCTGTTATTCAAGGCTCCAGAGCCAGCATTCCGAGACTCAGTAAGCTGTCCAGCAGCTTCCTAGGTCAGCCCAGGACACACACACACTTCTTCCCAGGTTGGCCCCAAGCCTCAGATTTTCCTGCACGGTCTGCTGGGGCCCCCTCTCACAGCAGAGTCCCTCCCACTCCACCTATGCCAGCACCCTTCCCTGCTCTTCCTTGTCATCTCTGATTGCTGATCAGCCCCCTTGGTGCCGCATACTTACCCCTGGATTAGACTATAGCCTTCCCGTGGCAGGGGCCAAGCCTGTTCCACCATATTATTCCCCATGGGCCTGGGCAATCTTCATGGAACAAATCCATGAACTGCTGGTCCGCAGCCTCCTCCCTGCCTTCATTTTG